AGTTATTACCTTGGATGGGGCTGTCTCACCTCCAACATAAACAAAGAGTAAACTTGGTGGCCGAGGCATTGCTGTGGCTTGTGTGTGTGTGTGCGTGTGTGCGTGTGCGTGTGTGCGTGTGTGTGTGTGTGTGTGTGTGTGTGTGTGTGTGTGTGTGTGTGTGTGTGTGTGTGTGTGTGTGTGTGTGTGTGAAGACACCCGTTGGTCTCTACCAGCCCACCTGGCCTTATTTAGAAAAGCAACGAGGAGCCAGAAGCAGAAACCCTCAAAGGACGTCCAGCTGAACAGAATGTCGGTGTGTGTGTGCGTGTGTGTGTGTGTGTGTGCTCATTAGTCTCTGAAAGAAAAAACCATCAGAAGCCACAATCATTCACACCCACTTCCTTCCCAGTAGGACTACAGCCTGGGTGCCATTTAGCTACAGCAGCATTATTGGGACTAACCTGAGCAATAAAACGTGCGTCCTGACTGGCAGAGTGAAGCAAAAGGCCAGGTTAACAGGCTCCTTCTTTGATCTGAAAAACTCTGAGGCACAATTCAGTCGTTTTCGCTTTCCTTTCCACTCATTAACACCCACTGACTTTCTTCCCAGCTCCAAGTATCATCATGCAGATTAAGAGAACAATAGCTACCATTAGCATTAGTGTTATCATAAAAAAGAGCTCATCAGATGGTGGTGGAGTGACCCACAGAGGCTCATTAGCTCACATGCTGAAACTTTGATCAGCTTCATTAGGAAGACAAGGGTCCATTGTCTTCCTGATCACCTCTGAAATGCTTCCTACTGAGGGCTCATCTCCACAGGTTGTTGATTTTGACTTAACATTTGTTTATTAGTGAATATCAAGAGAGCATTTGACTTGTTTAGAAGCTTTGGAGAGCAGGTAAATGCTTAATAAAAGACTGACTAATACTCAGGAGTGCCAAGGGCTATTTTCACTGTCAAGGTTCTGCTTTTTGCCATCTCAGACTGATGAGTAAGAATCACTTGATGTTGCCGTGGGAAGGCTTAGAGATTTATCTATAGGGTTGTTACAAAGGAGGCCATACTGCTCACTTTGTGACCTTTGATCCTGCTGATCTTTGCAGGAAACCATCTAGCGCCCTCTGTCTGGCAGTGTGTAGGGACTTGATAAGTCTAAAGGAGCCTTTGAACCTGCTAACTACGAAAATCCCCACTTCTTTTGTTCTGTTATTATTGGTTCTTGAGCTGACCTTCCTGACTCGGCAGGAGGAAGGCTGTTGTTTCAACAAAAACCGTCAGCCTTTACCTCTGCGCTGAATGAGGCGCCTTACCTTGAGACGGCATACTTGAGGGTTTTGAATGGCACTGCTTTGTTTTGTTCTGGTTAGGAGTTGGGTTTATTGTAGTGGTTGCCTTTCCTGAGAAAATGGCACTGCAGAGCCGCAAGGGCAGACTCTGTGACGGCAGACTCTGTCCTCTATGAGGATGCCTGTGGTCGTTTTACCACTGTCTGCCTGGCCCTGAGCTCAGAATGAGATAAGTGGCGTACCTCAACGAGGGAGCCTGTACCAAGGCTAAATATAGACACAGAGGAAAGGTAGAAGGGCAAGCAAGCAGTCACTGCCGTTTACAATGAGTCAATCTGTCTAATCACAGGCAGGGCAACAGCAGACCTTGCAATATGTGTCAGTTAATTGAATGACATTAGGCGGAGAAAGAAAGCACAGGCTTTGATCTGTGGCTTCAAGAGCCAAACTCAGAGAAAAGTGTTTTGGTTGGACATTCCAGACATTCCTCGTCCACATTCTGGTTCAGGACCATCGGGCTGCACAGACGAGGTGTAGGTTTCAAGTTGCTAACAGATGTCCTTAAAGGTAATGAATCAAGGAACAAGCTGTTTTCAGACACTAATATGTGTCTTCACAATCTGTAGGTGTTATGCTTTGTCCAAATTATTAGGCCAGTCATTCACACTTCTCCAAACATGAGATTTGTTTCCTCCCACAGAGGTTGAGATATTCCTATCTTATCTGGCATGTCTGAGTGTTGGAAAGTCCAAACTGAGCAATCTGCTGGAGTCGGAGACCTTTTCTGCAGAGGTTTTTATTTCCTGAAATGATTCTCCAATCGGGAACGGATCACATAACGAGAAACTAAAATAAGAACTGGAGAGTTTACACAATTAGGGGGAGTCAGGCAGAACCAACAAGGGAACCTGCAGTAATGGACATATGGCATTTCGTGTGCTGATCTGCTGACAGTTTGCCAAGGTGTCCCCCCAGTTCCCACCAGAGAAATGTTGGACCTGTTTTTGGACCAGCCAGTCACCCATTCTGGTGCTGGTAACTGATACAGCCTGGCAGGTGTCATAACAACATGGTCCTCCTCCCCCTGCAGTGGTCTTTTTTAGGTGTGTCTGACATGGACAGCCTGGTACATGTCTTACCAGTCCATAAGTGGAGTTATTAATGAGCTAAAATCTGAGCCTATCGGTGGATGTTTAGTGCTGAGTTTGTGTTGATAGTGTCTCATTACCCAGACCTAGAGGATGTGATCTTTTTTGCGTGTGGGTGTTGTGAAAATGGGATCTGAGCCGTGCTATTTTCTCAGGTGTTAAACACGTTGCAGCCTATGTAGAAAAGCAAACTTTTTCAGAAAGTAAGCTCATCACCTCCTCCACCTCCCAATGCCTTCTCTCAGATGCGTAGGAGTCGTCCTCCTGTTGCGTGCTAGCATGTTAGCGCTAATGAGACCAGCTGTCCAAACGCTCAGCCGGTCAGCCAAAAGGGACCGCGGTCTTTGTTAATGCAAGGTGTTACATCTCGTGCAGGAACACACTTTTGTTTCGATGACGCCGACCATTTGGTACAGGAAGACACCCCTCCCCTTCATCTCATACACACACCACCATCCTTTGACTCTTTTACTCAGTGCCTTTGCCGCACATCGAGGCTCCCGCCTTTATTGTCCCGCTTGCTGCTGCTGCAAACACCAGCGAATTGATTTTCCTCTCTACAGCTTTATAGTTGGTCATTTTCTCTCGCCACTGCTGCTGGGAACTGTTGCCTTTGTAATCGCTGACCTCAGCTCCACACCTGAGTGGCTGTGGCCCTAAACAGCCTCTCAGAATCATCCTAAAGTACCTTCTGTTTCAAAATGAAGTGTTGCACCCTGTTGGGGCTGCTGAACAGACAATACATCACCTGGCAGAATCGCTCCGGGGGAAAAGTGGGCAGAGGGGGGGAGGAGGAGTATGGACAAGTGTCACATGATGCTGCGTAAAACCAGTTTGTGTGTGTGGCATCCTCCTCTGTGGCTCTTGAGTTCTCCAATAGAAATGTAAAATATGTCTTGTAATACATGGTCAAGAGATATCATTCTCATGTCCCTTTAGTGCCCAGTCTGGGATTTCTCCCATTGAGCTTGATTTCTCAGTAGGTGTTTAATCCTGGGTTGTTTCTGCACTGCTTTAGAAGTGTAGTTTGCCAATACAGGGTTCCAGTTTGGCAATGGCAGCAGAACAAGTGAATGAAGCCGTTCAATTTGTTTTGGCCGAATATTGTGCAATTAAAGTCGCACCAAAAATGCATAAGACATTTTATTGCTGGCGAAAGTGTCCTGGCCCTACTCTTATGAGGTACGCTATTGAATGAACGACAGTAAAGAGTTTGAGAATGAAACGGCCCTCCCGATGAACCTAACAGGATTTCGCAGCTGCAGCACAGCGGCAACGACCCCTACGAACAGCTCGACAAACAACAGCACACCATCCAGCCCCCCACGCCTCCCCCTCAACCGGAACCTTCCGGCGAGCCTCTGTGAACGCCGGCCGGCCATAATGACCCGCTCGGCGATGGGAGAGAGCGAGAGTTCTCGCCGGAACAATTCTCATTGATTGAAACGTAGGCTCACGATTCCACCTGATACGCCTCCTCCTTCAGCCACTTCAGAAAGAGGTGGGCGAAGAGAGTAGGGGAGAGAGGAGATAGATGGAGAAGAGAAAAAAAAACTCCACTACGCTCAGGTGCTTTGTACTGGCAGTCCGCATTCAGTGAGTGAATGCAGGTGGTGTGTGGATGTGCCAGCGCTGCGTGCGGTGCGAGTGTTGATATGAGAGGTAGTTGGAGCGCTTGCAGCCCAGGCCCTCTGCTGACTGAGCTGCTCTCACTGGAGAATTGATTTGGCCTCCGAGAGGATCTGTAGCTCTCTCAGCGGAACAGAGGGAGGCTGGAGGGCAGCAGCAGCAGGAGGGGTGTGTGTGTGTGTGCGTGTGTGTGTGTGTGTGTGTGTGCGCGTGTGTGTGTGCGTGTGGTGGTGGGGTTGGAGGGGTAGGAAATGGAAACCCAGGTGGAATTGAGAGATGGAGGAACATTGTGGAAATGAAAAGACGATGCCGGAGCAACACGCTCGGCACACACACTGCTGAAATGGATGGGGTGTGTGTGAGGAAAATTTACTCCCTGTAATAACCCTCTCTCTCTCTCTCTCGCTCCGCGGGCCGCCTCTCTGCGCGCCTCCTGGCTCCTTCAGCCCATAACACAGGCGACCACATCACACCGACTCCCACACAGCCCTGAAACCACTTCAACCTGCAATCCAGTGATCTCACACATCTGCATGTGTGTCTGCGTGTCCGAGTGTGAATTTTCTCTGCTCGCCTGTTGCTACAGGGTTGGTTGTCACACCTAAAAGAGGCCCCTGTTCAGCAGGTTGTCAGTGTCTTAGCTGTTTAATCCAAATTTTTTCCCTGTGGAGGTCATTTCAAGTTTCATCTCATCTGTCTGAGGCGGGCCACGTTCTGTTTAATTGGTATTTCCAGCTCCCTGCCCCCTCTGCCTCCACAACCAGTCCCTTTAATAGTTTTGACATTAAAACGACATGGTACATATATTTAACCCAGCCAGCTTTTGACCTTTCACTCCCAGCGCTCATAATTAAAGACCACACACATCTCATCATGTTTATAAAGCACTCCAAGTTGAGTCAGGAGCCACGGAACTCATTCTAAGCTGCGATCTTGTTTCTCCTTGCGCAGTGACCAACTACAACAATGTGCTGGAGGCAGGCTCAGACTCAGACGATGAGGACAAGCTGCACATCGTGGAGGAGGAAGGCAGCCTGGCAGACGGGGCAGACTGCGACAGCACCCTGCCGGACGACGAGCACCCGAGCGTGCCGAGCTGGGACCCAGGTGAGAACCTCGTGTTATTCTCTGACCACTGAAAAGTGAACAGAGCTGTCGTTTCTGCGAACCGTTACGGTAGGTGGTCATAATGCCTTGGCTCTTACAGTGACTTGCAAAGTTATTTCCACCCTTTGAACTTTTCTACTTTGTGTCATGTTAGAACCACAAATTTCAGTGTGGTTCTCATCATCGCCCTCCATCACAGTCTCAATTTCTTGTGCAATCTCTAATCAGTTTCCTTCTGTATTGGCATGTAGTTAGCTTCATCCATCTTCCCAGCGTTTATCCCCACACTATGATGCTTCCACTGCAGAGTTCCACAGTGAACGACGTGTTCAGGTTCATGTACAGTGTAGAAAGCTCCCCGATACAATGGAGTCTGCCCATGGACAGCTGAGAGATCACAGTCGAGCGCATCAATTTCCTACAGTTCTCGTGATTAATTCTTTCATTTTCCAAGTTTGATGAGTTAGTCGTTTGGCCCAGTTCTTCTCCAACAAGGCAACCACTGCACACCCGTCAGTGTGGAACCAGAGCAGCAGAGCAGCAGTCACACTGTGCATCCTTACTACAGGTTACGCCAACTCCCAATCCAATCAGCAACAATTACATTTTTAACTACATATTTAAAAGGTTCAAAATTAAAGTATTTATTAGTTTTTTAACCAGTCTGTTTAAATGTCTGCCACCTGTCACTGAAAATTGACTTATTTTCTGAGAATACAACACAGGCTGAGTTATAGTTGTGCCTTTAAAAGTTCCTGTTGAGCACTCTCCAGCCAAGCAAGAAGTGGCTGAACATGATGTGTGTACATGTTGTGTTCTCTGAAAATGGGCCGTTGTACCCGGCACCGCGGCAGTGTGCAGCGGCACGGACGGTGTGACTGGGGAGTGCATCCCGGGGGGAGTGGATTATTTTCTGCAGGTGGTTTTGATCCAATTATGATCTCAGCTGAAGAGATACAGTCTAAGTTGAGAAATGCCACCCTAACATCTGCACATAGTTGTATGGCGGTCTTTGTCTCATTGTGAAACAGAGAGTGAGGAAACAGGTACTACATGCAGAGGGGTTGAAACTAAGGCAGGAAGTATGATATTAAACAAAGACAATGCCAACACACAGAGAGACCTTCAGGCACACAAAATAGCCTTTCAAGCCAAGAGTCGGTGGAAAGCTTTACAGCACTGGTGGGCATACAGGGAACCGCCATGAACTCCTTTTTACCTCAAACTCTGTGGAAGTGGCATCAGAAGCAGCTCACTACCACAGGAAGCGCTGATGTCACGTCGTCCCCCCTCTCCCTCTCCCCCCTCTAGCCCGCCATTCCCTCCCTTTCTGTCGTCTCCAAAACAATTGCGGGTGCTGAAGGATGTCGGCGTTTCAGGACGGGCTGAAGAGAAGCCACCTACTCCCCAGACTCCGCTGTCATCCTCGGCTCGGCTCCCCCAGCTGCACCTCCTTGCATAAGAGGAAAGTTGGAGGAAGAATAATGTCATTGGTTTTGGCCCAGGATGGAGAACATTAAACACTTCAAAAGCATGAGCTGCACTGAAACAGCTCAGTGAGCTGGCCGCGCTCCATGTTTGTGCCTGATCTAGTCTTCTCACTGCTCTTCCTAACTCTCCAGCCTTCTCCGCGGATCAGACTGATGAAACGCGGGGAAAGCCTCGGCTCTTTAAGCAAACATGTCTTTCGTCTAATCTGTTGGGAGAACAGGCTCTCTGGTGTGGCCTTGAAAATCTGACCACCACCCAGCAATCTTCTTCTCCGCACAGCTCAGTTTGCTTCAAATTAAAGCCTTGACACCCCTTCTCACGAGACTTCAGCGCTCCAAAACCAGAAAGGTGGTTTTTCAGCACTTTAACTTTGTTTACTTCAAGTCATTTTCTCTTTTTTTAATATCCTTACTGACTATTCTTCTTGTTCTGAATGATTCTTCTTGATTAAAGGGTACGAAAGGCCCCCACCTCACTGTCATTACTCATTGACTCCTAAGTGATTATGTAGAGGTGGAGCAGCCCACCGTTGGGGTCTGACTCGGCCTGGGGGAGGGACAGGTAGACAGAGCACTGGCCCAGGAGGGCTTCTCCTTTACATTTAATGAGTAGGAGAGAATGATTACATCTGAGTGAAAGAGCAGGGTGGAGCTGGAGAGCAGAGGCACCAAATGATGGAGAAAGTCTGGATATATAGGCAGCTTCTCTCTGTGCCTGCAAACGTATCCCTCCCCCTTCGACTCTTCCACATTTTGAGACAAACCTCAATGTGTTTTATTGGGGTTTTTCCGTGACAAGCCTTTTCAAGGATCGATGGTGTCTATTGTTGTGTTTCCATGATGTCAGAAAGACACTGGAATACAACCTTTTCATGAGGGTCGTAAAGAGATGCATAGCACACAGCCAAGGATGAGCAAATCATCCCTCTCCTGATTTCAGAATACCTCATGTCTTCTTCAGTCTGTCTCCCAATGGCTGCAGATAAAGTAAAGAATTTGCTCCCCCACCCCAAAGAATACTTTAGATTCTTTTTCACAAGGCTTTGTCTTGTTTAATGATGCATGTCTGCCCCACCAGACAGAATCTATGAGATGTTGTGGATGCACTGCTATAGGAAATAGTCACGTCGTGAGTTGGACAGGACAGGAAATGCATCATGTGCCGGCCCTTTTGCAGAGACGTAGGGAGAGTGGGAAGAGACAAAAGCAAAAGAAAAAGAAAAGAAACTTGGTGCTCTGCTGTTTCTTTCACAAGAACATGCGCTGACATTCTCTCTTGAACCTTCTATGGAGCTCTTTTAACTGATCTTCCACGTGTGCAGCGGTGCATTCACATCCCTGCGTCAGCATGTAAGCGGCCTGCGTGATGTTTCATGTCAGGGGGAGCAGCCTGATAACACACAGCCACCTCAGCAAGGCTGCAACCCCTCCTGGCCCTCTTCTGTACTTGAAAAAGAGTCGAGTGAGGCAAACGAATCACACAGGCGAGGAGTGAAAACAACAGCCTGTCATGCCTTTGCACCACAGAGCCCCAAACGGGACTTCACTTCACACACACAGACAGGCTCAACATTTTGTAGCCTTGAGGTGAATCTGTGTGTCTGAATGCGGCCGAGGGAGCAAATCCCAGCCTGATCAGCACTTCCTGACTTTTTTTGCACCACGTCACTCACCAACATTATTTAGAAATGGATAGAGAGCTTTGATGGAAGGATACCAATACTTTGTCTGTGTTGTGTCTCATTTTGCTATGTTAAAACATCAATCTTCAGTGTATTTTACTTGTATTTGGTGAAGCAGTGCATAACTCTGAATTGAAAGTTTCCAGTGTTTGGGGTAGATAGCTGCTAGCTTTGTACATGTAGAAACTAGGCGTGCAGCGATTGCAGCTTTCTGCCCGATCACGATCTATAAAACGTCACATATGCCAACTCCAATTTTGAGCAATAGTGAATAAAGTTTGTCTGAAAAGTTGCTAAATATAACAGGAAAGTGGAGTGACTATTTTTAACTGCACACCTGCAGTGGTTAGATCTGTGCTGCGTTTCAAACCATTTTCAGGCCTCTGCGTTGGTAGACGAGATTGTTGGATAAGATCAGTTTCTCATGTATCGACTGATAGCCGATCTCACAATCCAACTTGGGAGACTCATCACTTTTTCAAGTGATAAATACAACAGATCATCAGTTGGATTTATGTCTGAACTTTGACTGGGCCATTTTAACATTTGGACATGCTTCTGTTGGCTGTGTGCTTTGGGTCTCTGTCCTGCCACAAACAGAAGCTCCATCCCGGTCTTAAGTCTTTTATAACCTCAGGCAGGTTTTCTGTCAGAAACACATTAATCTCCGCATTAACGAGAATCCTTGTCCCTGCCAAACAAAAGCATCCCCACACCATCATCCTGCCACCACCACATGTTGCCATAGATCTGCCATCACACTAAACCATTCTCATGTGTGGCACGACATCACTTCTTATAGATTTTTTTCCTTCCAGTCTTCTCTTAATGTCAGATTTGCAAATTGCACAACAAACTGTGGCTCTGAACAGCTCCTCCAGAGTTACCATGGGCCTTTTGTACAGATGTTTGTGGTTGTAATTAAACAAAAATATAACACTATTAAAGTATGAACATTTTTCCAAAGGTCTGAGTTATGACAGGTTAGCAGGGTATGAATACTTTTTTGAAGCTCTGCGTTTACTTGTTGCTAATTCTCTTGTAAGCCTTAACCTGACAACCAGAGAGTGTTTCCCAGACTGCCAGAGTGTTTCCCAGACTGCCAGAGTGTTTCCCTTAACACGTTAGGTGGAATGTGTTAAATGTGTCTTGGGGTATTACTGATGTTGCTCGGGTCGTGGGAGGAAAGCTCTGTGTATCCTGAGTACAGGATACAAATTCCAAGATGGGCCTTTCTGAGCACCTGCTGCTTTCTCCTACTTTACACACCCACGCTGACATGTTCACAAAAAGACGGCCTCTTTGTCCTCATGATCTCTCCGAGGTCTGCAACAGGCCAGCAGGCTTCTTCCAGCAGTCCTCAATAACCATAGCAACAAATGACTGCCGTTGCATTGTTCTGCAGCTTTGTCAAGGCGCCGCAGAGGAAGCTGGACCGAGACTTGTTTGTAAGAGTACTGGTATTCGCTGTGCGTCGGTGAGTCATGAAGTGCTACACCTGTTCCCATCTCTGAGGAGAACACAGCTGGCCCCGTCTCTCAACACACACACACACACACACACACACACACACACACACACACACACACAGAGAGACTGTACGCAGTTCTCCAAACACAATTCTCCAATCTCCGCTGAGCAGAGGGAGTTCATGAAACATCTGCCCAGTAAACAGCACTGTTGTATCCACAGCAGGCTAACTTTGCTTTTAGCTGCGAGCTCACCCCTGTAATTATTCTCCGTAATGATCCACAGAGGCGCACTAACACTTCCACAGAGGAGCGGTGCTCTGTTTAATTGCTGACATGCTGTACCTGGTGTCTGCATCCACCTCAGGTAGCATTGGGGAGAACCAAGATCAAGAGAAAGGGAGGAAGCTTTCATGCCTACTAAACTCAGTCCTCAGGTTATGCTCCGGTAATGAGCCGAGCTCGTGTGATGTGGAGGAAGAACACACTCTGCTCATTTGCCAAAGTTGGTCTGAAGGCCGAGCCTCACCTGAGAGCACAGAGTGTGTGAGCGTTCCTGCTTCGTCTCTGTCTGCTGCAACGTTGGAGGAGGAGATTCGTCACCTAATTATCAGTTCCAGTCACAACAAGTACCTTATCTAACATTGTTAATAGAGGTTTGCCATTCAGTTCTTACAAAGAACGCCATGCTCACCGTGGCCCCCTGGCCTTTGATGCTAATGAGTTTTCTCATCCCTTTGTGAAAGTCGGGATGTTTTTTCTTCTGCTTGCTGACACTGCATGCCTCTTTCCAGTCTGCTGAACATGGGATGATCAAGAGCGCAGACTGTAGGAGCTGCTCCAAGCACGTCATTCTCTGTGATTTCACAACATGATCATGTATGGCATGCGTCAGGAGCCAAAACCGTTCTGCTCTGGCAATGAGATCAATGATGGCTCGTCTGTGAAGAGTGTGTGTGTTTGTTTCTTTGCAGTGAAGGAGGACTGCGCTTCAGATGGCGAGGATGACGTGAGCACGGACGCCCTGGTGGAGGAGATGCTCCAGCAAGGAGACACGGCCATCATCTACCCAGAGGCCCCAGACGATGACCTCCAGCGCCAGGGCACTCCCGACGCCAGCGTCCATGACGAGAACGGTACGAGACATCACACCGCAGGCCCCGTCCTCACTTTGCTGTTTGCACTGCTGAGCTCTCGCACTGTTACAACACCTATCTAGTAATTACCCCCTCTAGAGGGGGAGGCTGTACCTGCTGCCTGTTACACCTCAGGTGTTAACTCCCCCCCATTAGCACCAGCCTCTGACATCATTACAGCCTCTACGGCTCCTGGGCTTTTAACTTTTACCTGCTTCCTCTGAGGAGCTGGGGGGAGTGTCAGAAACGGCAACACCTGAGTAAATTTGTCACATCCATGTGAGCTCTGACTCACAGCTACCTGGGTGATAATGTCTGTGCATTCCCAGCCACCTGGTCCCCAGGAAGAGGTGGGGGGCTTAATACATCACTTGTTAACAAGGTAATGCTTTACCTGTGTGGGAAGAGAACAACTTAAACCCTCTGTTGGTCTGGAGCTCAGGTGCAGGTGGGCGACGTGTTTACCAGTCTCATTTGTTCTTACACACACTCCTGATGCACAATAGGCAATCACACGGTTACATCTCAAGAGTCTAAAACTGTAATTTATTTGCCTTGTCAGAAGATGTGGAAATAACATGAAGAGAAATCAAAGTGCAGTCAAGGACAGCAAACACCAGCTTTGATCTGCTCTGTTACCTGGCTGCTGTTTACCTGTAGGGGAGGATCTCTCAGCGATCGGCGAAATCACAGAGCAGCGTCACTGTGGCCGCTCACGCGCAACATCAAAGAGTTTCCCAACATGTGTTTGTAACGCCATCTCCTCCTCCTGTTCTCTTCTTTCATCCAGGAACCCCGGATTCGTTCTCCCAGCTGCTCACATGCCCGTACTGCGCGCGGGGCTACAAGCGCTACAGCTCCCTGAAGGAGCACATCAAGTACCGGCATGAGAAGACAGAGGAGAGCTTCAGCTGCCCAGAGTGCAGCTACAGCTTCGCATACCGCGCTCAGTTGGAGCGCCATATGAGCGTTCATAAGGGAGGACGGGATCAGGTACAAAGTTCTGTTCTGCACTTAGATGCCGAAAGCTAGATTTGTAATTTGTTTCCAAGGAGAGAGTTTGTAGAAATATTTCAAAGTGGTAGGTTTTTTTAAAAATAGTTTTCTAGGCTTTCTGAAAGCCACATTAAGTCACAGGATGGATTTAATGTTTTGCTTTCCTCAGTTATGAGTTTAAACAATCCATTCAGCCCACGAGACAAAAAATATACAGTATTGAGTTGATATTTTAACAATCTGAGAAAAAAAATTCTAAAATGTTCACGTTCAAAAATAGAAGACTCAGTAAATAGTAAAACTAATTCCGACATGGTTTGATCAGCCCACACACCAATCTGACATGTCTTGAACATGCTCATGTTTGTTTTCATGAAATGAAATGTCAAAGAATCGATGTTCAGTGTAAATTATACTTGATCAATCTGAACATTCTAGAGATTAGAGAGTCCCAATCATGAATCAGAGTTTCAAGCTTAAGCACTCGCCTTCATATCCAGATTTCCTGATAATTGATTTAACTAAACCAGCAGCTGTCCACTTGATATGGTGAAATTTCCACAAGATCCTCTTTTACCGGCAGCCCGGCCATGTACTTATAGGCGTATATATGAGGACACATTATAGGCTGTAACAGTTATTGCTCATATCATTTACACCAGCATAAACAGCTGTAAAATACAGAAAATAGTGCCTCTGCTAGAGCAGCGCCACTGTGCAGCACATATAGTGCATATCCACTATGTTTCACTGTTGGCTATTAGTCAAAAACTTTACAACAGAAAAGTAATTGAAGATCCATTGTTTTGTATCTTCACAGTAGGAGCTGGATGTCTCTACCCTAAATCAGAGACAAGCAATCTACGTAGAAATACTTTAAAACACTGGAGAACTATTCTAAATTACAAAAAATAAAACAGAAGTTGTTTTTTAAACGCAATACACAAGAAGAAAGAGCAGTTTAAGATTATTCAGCAAAATAATCAGCAAAATGATTGATGTGTTTATTTCATAAATGGCTGTAAAATCTTCTGTAGGTGCTGCAGAGACAGGTTTTAAAAAAAACTTGACATAAAAGGTTTCCAAGCAGGACAAATAAACATGAACTCTTGCCCTTCATTGATTAACAGCATTGTGATGTGAATTATCAGAGTTCAAAGGTCACACTGTCATGGCTTGTGTGACTGAACGACCCGCTCACCTTTTATCTCACAGAGGCACATCACGCAGTCTGGAGGCAACCGGAAATTCAAGTGCCCTGAATGCGGCAAAGCATTCAAGTACAAGCACCATCTGAAGGAGCACCTCCGGATTCACAGTGGTGAGAGCACAGCTATCTGCGTGTGTGTGTGCGTGTGCATGGGGGTGTGTGTGTGGGGGGGGGAAGAGGGGGGGGTGCGTGAGCAGGTCATGTTCTGTGTGTTGTTTTCATGCCCCTCTGGTAGCCACAGATGCTTCAATCTCGGTCGAAGCAGGCTTTATGTTTTATTTATGTTTCCCTGCGTTTAGATCTCCTTCATCATGTTTCGGTGTGTTGGTTCTCCTCCTTAATGTGCCGTAATCATGTTTCTTTTGGCATTATGGGACAGCAATTAGAGACGGGCATTTCCCAGTGGTGCCATTACACGAACGTTTAAGCATCATCGAAATGCATTAGAGCTTTTTCCTGCTGTACCGCTTATAGCCTAGCTTGCTCATTTAGCTTCATTCACTAATGGAAATTGTTCTCTTCCCTCTTCCCCTCCATCCCCCTTCCCGGCCGACTCCGCTTTCCCTCTCTCTGTTTCACAAACTGTGGCTTTATTCAGGAGAGAAACCCTATGAGTGCTCCCACTGCAAGAAGCGCTTCTCCCACTCAGGCTCGTACAGTTCCCACATCAGCAGTAAGAAGTGCATCAGCGTCATCTCAGTGAACAGCAGACAGCGCCTGGGGGGCAGCAGAAACCAGGCCCAGGGCTCATCACCAGGGCTGCCCACATCCCCTTCAGTCCACTGCGGACAGATCAGGGACAAACTGGAGCACAACAAGCCCCTCCAGGAGCAGCTGCCCCTCAACCAGATCAAGACAGAGCCTGTGGATTACGAGTACAAGCCGGCGGTAATAACACCTCCAGCCATGGCCGCCATCAATGGCGGAGTGTTCAGCGGAGGTGCTGCTGCCCCTCTGCAGGGTACTGTACAGGCGGTGGTTCTGCCCACAGTGGGGTTGGTGTCCCCCATCAGCATCAACCTGGCAGACCTACAGAATGCCCTCAAGGTGGCAGTGGACGGTAACGTGATACGGCAGGTGCTGGAAAACAACGCCAAAGGCCAGGTGAACTCAGGCCTCACCACTCAAATGCTGCACCCCCCTCAGCAGCAGCTCATCTCAGCCATTAGTCTGCCGATCGTAGGGCAGGACGGGAATGCAAAACTTATTATAAATTACAGTCTGGACCCCAACCAGGGCCAGCTCACGCCCCATAACCTAAAGAAAGAGCCAGTGTCTCCGGCTCAGAGTGCCGCTGACTCTATCAAGTCCCAGAAACTCCCAGAGGATCTTTCAGTCAGAGGCAGCAGGGACCAGGCACAGCAAAAAGAGGAAAAGACCACTACAACCTGTCTACTGTGTGAGAACTGTCCAGGGGGGCTGGAAGCACTCCATGCTCTCAAGCACTGCAAGAAAGAGGATCTCAGACTGAACGGAGCAGGTTTAGATAAATCTGAAGCCGTTGTTGCCTTGCTGTCAGACGGAGGACTCTGCAACCACCCCAAGAACCTCCTCTCCCTTCTCAAGGCCTATTTCGCCTTAAATGCCGAGCCCTCCAAGGACGAGCTGGTCAAGATCTCTGACTCAGTCAATCTGCCCATCCATGTAGTAAAGAAGTGGTTTAGCAAAATGCAGCAGGGTCAGATATCCCTGGGCGCCCCAACACCCCCATCAGAAGAGGAAGACTCCTGTGAAGCTCACAGTGTGGTATCACTGGTCCCAGGAAAGGACACAGCCACTATAAGCAGATCTGTGAGTCAGGATAGCCCCACAGAGGCTACGCCAGCAGAGGTCAACGGCACTCACAGCTCACCGGCCTCGCCCTCGCCACTTAACCTTACAGCTGGCGGTCCCACCCAAGCTGACACCCCTGAGAGCACTGAGGGACCCCTGGACCTGTCGCTGCCAAAGCCAGCCAGAGAAGAAGCAGAGAGCATGGCGCCTGCAGCCCGAGTTTACCCCTCTGCTTCCTCCTGCCAGACCACTGAGGAGGAACCTCTCAACTTAACTTGCACAAAGAAGGACACGTCACCACTCTCAGCCATGGGGGGAAGCCCCCTTGCACTGTACACCAACCAGCCAAGTGCCAAACCCCTCGATATTGTAACCACAATGCAATGCCTGCGAGCACTAACCAACAACAGCAGCAAACAGACGATCCTGATCCCCCAGCTGGCTTACACATACACCACTACAGCTAACAGCCCTGCAGGGACAGAGACGCACGAAACCATCCATCTCAATGGAATCAAGGTGCGTAATCGTCCACTGTCTCCTTTTTCTGTGCAGTGAGACAGCTGAGACTTACGGACACACAATGTCATGTCTGCATATTCACCCTGCTTTGCAACTTTGTCAAAACATTTTGCAACAAATAAGCTAGATGTTGCTATATTTCAGAAAAAAAAAACAATCAGTATCAACCAACACATGGGCGTTCTTTCATATTTTTTCTCATTACAACCATCATTGTCTACCACCACACAATCCATGTAGAATTGGGTCTTATTGACTTTTTGGTCAATAAGAAAATTGCTATTAATGACAAAAAAAAAAGGTATGAAGACCTTTACAAGGAAGTATATATTGAAAGTTTACAGTGCTTTCTCGCCCAGAGACTTAATGAGACTAGTCAGGATGTGCTACTCTTTGTTGCATGCACCGTATTGATCTGTTGAACCAGTTTGAAGGCAGCACCTCAGCCTGCTGCATTGATTTCCTGTTGTTGTATTATACTTTAGTGTTAAGTGGATTGGCATAGATCTGCCACGTAAAACAGAACACAAACGACACCGAACATCCTTTTGCTCCAGCGCAGCTTCTAGTTCCACTGGAACAGGAAGGGGTGGTTGCTGTTGCTCCGACAGAGTGTCTACCTGATGACTCAGCATCACTCAGTGCAAAGTTTCACTGTGTTGTCAAAAAGAAAGAAAAACCAAAAGATAACCAGCATCTCAATGCAATGTCTCATTTCCCAGGAGGAGAGACTGGATCTGGGCTCAGAGGGATTCTCGGTCGTGGACGAGCAGAACGACTCCGACTCGGGCCCAGCGAGGAAGAAGATGAAGAAGACGGACAGCGGCATGTACGCCTGCGACCTGTGTGACAAGATCTTCCAAAAGAGCAGCTCGCTACTGAGACACAAATACGAGCACACAGGTAAACGTGACAAAACAACAACAAAAATCACACACAGAGCACAAACCCAGCAATAAAACAAAGAGAAAAACAAAAGGTCCCTCAGAACCGGAACCCGTCTCATCACCACTCACTGTTGTGCTTGGAAACATGAGTCAGTGTGCATGCGAAGGGGGATTTTGAGCTGGAAGAAGGGTGGACACCTCCATTCCAGCAGGCATTACTCAACGCTCACAGAAGAGGTCTGAGAATTTATTTCCACCAACTCCCCACCTCTGCACTGCCAGTTTCTCATGTACAGCCCCGTGTGTTGCAAGAGGCGATCTCTGGTAGTGATTTGGAGCGCTACAAGATGATGATTCCGTGGCCAAGCGCAGGTCAGCGCTCTCAGAGGCGTTTTCTTTTTCTTTATTACTGATACCTGGCGCCGAAGCCCAGTTTTCAGCTCCAAGTGACCTCATCTTAGGTGAAACTAGCTGCTTGTGTTGAAATGTTCTCCTTAGATACGATGATGATGGAGCACACTTTCAGCATTCAGGGTGTAGAAACATTTTTACGCAACATTGCGGGGGACATGAGGACTGTTTTTTGTTTTCCACTCATCCCTCCATTTAGTAGAACATTTTTTTCTTTTTCAGTATATTGATGCATATTCTATTTTGACATGTTTGACGTCTCAGATCTGCTGGTAGTTTAACTTTACGTTTTTACCTTTCAGACAGTCATTATGATATGTAACTGTGGCAACAATGTGTTTTTTTTTTTTTGTTTTTTTTTTTACAAATGGGAGAAGTAACTCAAGAGCTAAAATGATACTTGAACTATGACCCCAAAGTTTCAAAAGAAGTTCCAGACATCATAATGAGCAATAGTCACATCCCCTACTCCAACATCTCACCATACGACCGGACCAAGTTAAAGATGAGCTACGAAAGCGAACGAGGTGACAGTCTTCAGTCAGAGGCCTCTACAGACTCATTGTGAAACTGACTGCTACCAGAGAACCTTCCTACTCACATCATCACCATCCACAACCACTTTTTGAAGGCACTAGGATGATATGAGTCAGGACATTTCATTTCCCTCTGGACTGAGTAAAGCATCACTGAGCTGAATTGAACTGAACGTGTTGCGTGTCTCAGAGACGGCTTCCAGCTGGTGCTTCTGTAACAGATCCATTAAAAACTTGAACTACTAATGGAGCATTTCAGGCAGCGTGTTCTAGATAGTGGACACAGAATGAGCACTACAGGTAAAGGTGACGGTAAAGTAGCACCACCGGAGGGCGACAAAGTGCTTCCAGTGGGATCAGTGGCTTGTGTTGAATGCGCGTCATTCAGCTTCAGAGTGAGTGTAGAAGCAGTTTGGGACAAACTGGAGACAGTTTTACAGCAACGTGTGTTTTTCATGATCTGAACATGTTGACGCAGATTCTGTTTTCTCTCTCGACAGGGAAGCGACCTCACGAGTGCAGCATCTGCAGCAAGGCCTTCAAACACAAACACCACCTGATCGAACACATGCGCCTCCACTCGGGGGAGAAGCCGTACCAGTGCGACAAGTGCGGCAAGCGCTTCTCCCACTCGGGCTCCTACTCCCAGCACATGAACCACCGCTACTCCTACTGCAAGAAGGAGACGCAGAGCCAGGCCGGAGGACGGGAGAGCCCCGCGGAGGAGGACGGCGAGGTCCCCGCAGAGCGGCAGAGGCAGGACACGGCGCCCTCCCTACTGGACTCAGACGAGCGAGGGAGCAGCACCAGGGAGGACGAAGAGAGCGAGGAGGAGGAGGACGAGGGAGTGGTGGACATGAACGACATCCAGGTGGTTCAGATAGAGGATGAGGAGGAGGAGGACAAAGAGGAGAGGAAGGAGGAGCAGATGGAGACCGAGAGAGAGGACGGAACATTAGAGACGGAGGAGAAAGAGGAAGTCGACACGAGGCAGGAGGAGGAGGAGAATGAGGAGGAGAGCAACGCCGATAAAGATGAGGTGACAGATAAGGAGGGAGGTGGAGCCGAGGAGGCGGGCGGGGAGGTCCAGGAGGAGAGCAGCGGCGAAACGAACCGGAGCGGGGTTTCTCAGGACGAGAAGGAGACGCCGGAGGAGAAAGCGGACACAGACTGAAGCAGGAAGTGGGCTTCTCCCTGCGACACAATCAGACTCCCTCCTCGCCCCGAGCCGAGGACCGGCGTCCGCTCAGACACTTCACTACTGTGTAGAAATCCAGGTGTGCCTGAAAAAATACTAGAGACTTTTCCCCACAGGAGAACGTCTCCCTCTGTTTGAAGAACCATTAGTAAAACAGAAAGGCGGAGAAGAAGAAGAGGAATTTTAACGAACGAGAGACATGCATTATACAGACTTTGGAAGCTAGAGCCGACACGTTTTAGATAATGTTTTATTACTAAAACACCTTGGGTCCTTTCTTTTTATCAGTGTTACTAATTTTATCACTCATATTTTAACCTTTAAAAGCTGTACAGTTGGGAGATATTTCTATATCTTTTTATTGCCAATGAACAAAAAAAAAGTCAGTATTTTGTTAAGTTGGAAGAAAGAAAAAAAAAAGACAAATCCTGTGCACTACAAGTGGCTCAGTTTACCTCCAGGCTGAGTTTTGTTGAACCCGTCAGTATTATCACGCCGTTTAGCATTACAGTTCAGATTTCTGCTGTTGTGGTCGGACTGAGAGCCTTAAGAGAGCCAACGGGTTTTAGAACCAGGCAGTATTGATGTTCTTTATTTGTGTCTGTCAAACTTGGCCAAATCATAATCAATTCCATTTCTGAGTGATGAGAAGTGAGCATCAGTAGAGACGGTTCCAGAAAAGACTCAAAACTCTTCCCAAACAAAACCCCAAAGCTGTTTTAGGCCCATTAGTATAACTGTAAAAGAATGGATGGATGGATGGATGGATGGATGGATGGATGGATGGATGGATGGATGGATGGATGGATGGATGGATGGATGGATGGATGGATGGATGGATGGATGGATGGATGGATGGATGGATGATGGATGGGATGGATGGATGATGGATGGACAATGGATGGATGATGGATGGATGGATGATGGATGGATGATGGATGGATGATGGATGGACGATGGATGGATGATGGATGGACGATGGATGGATGATGGATGGACGGAAGATGGATGGACGGACGATGGATGGATGATGGATGGATGGATGATGGATGGATGGTAGATGGATGGATGATGGATGGATGGACGATGGATGGATGGATGTGGAAAATATCTGTATCAACTTCCAGACTGCATAGGAACCCTCAACTAAATCCACCACTAAAAACCACTGATGAACTTTTTTGGTCTTCTTGCTAGTAGAATCTGGACACTAAAACAGTTTTGCACATAACCTCCCAAAAACTGCATTTTGCCATTTTTTTTTCCAAATAGCCAACTTCACAAAAAGGAAACTGAAAAGCCAAAATGTCTGCCTTTTCACTCACCACCTCTGATCTCATCCACAATCTTAGAGCCTTATGCAAAAATAAGTGTGAAAAAAAAGATCAATCAATCAAATGAGAAAGCATGCATATCAGAAGTGCCATTGAACGTTGCTATTGACGCTTCCAGCTAACGCCGAGTCCCAATCAAACAATGAACCGAAACACTGTTGCAGACGGAGGACAGCTTAGCCTGCAGATTCATGCGTTAGATTTTACATGATTTCTTTTTCCTAATCTGAGTGACTAACAGTCAGCAAGCATGTTTTCACAAAGGCGATTGGTTTCTCATGGCGACCGCCTCCTCCCTCCCGGAGCTCATTCAGTGCACTTGTTTCACACATCATGAAATCCTCAGTCTCTGCAGGTGACAAAATGAAGTTTAATTTAACCACGTTTTTTATTTTTTGTCTTGTTTTTTTTTACCTGTCAGTATTATTTTTGTCCCTCATGTTGGTTTACGTTCTGTTTCAGTGTGTTCTGTACATGTCCCACAGTGGCAGTATTATCCCAACCCCCCCGACAAGATGGGTATGTCTGTTTAGTTGTAGAAAACTTTTATATTTATGTGTCGGATTTTTCTTTTTTTTTTTTAAGTTTCTTTACGCTTATTTATTACACAATGTAGTGTACAATACTGTAGTTTGTATTAATGCGATAATATATTTTAGTATGGACAAAAGAAGAAAATGCGAATAACTGCAACTCTGGAAAACAAGACTCCGGCATACTGAAGTTATGTTTTTTGAACAAATTGTTTCTTTCTTCTTTTTTTTTTTTCCTTCTTCTTCTGGGTGAAAAAAAAAATCTCTCACCATGCAAGCCAGAAAATTTGGAACCTGTGACCTCTGCATTGACTCTCATGTTAGTTTTCTTTCTCCTCTCCTGATATGAAGCTACTGAACTTTGAAAACTAATTGTATGTCTAATAGCATGAGTGTGTGCTGTCATATTGAACGATGATCGTTAACCAAGCCAAAATAATATTGCCATATGTTCTTATCTTTTTATTTGTGCCAATGTGTTCCTTTGCATCGGTGTCACAACAATACCCAGTTTTATATGCCCCTCCCCTTTTAACAACCTCATCTTTTTTATAATGAATGTTTTTGTTTTTCCTTTTTTTTTCTTTTTTTTATGATTCCCCATCTCACAATAAAATGCATCAATTACATGCTAGCTTTGTCATGATGATGTTCAGAATTTTAAAATTAAAATTCAACATTTACAGCTAGGAAAAGAGTTATTTGTACATAATTGCAATTATGTTTTGACAATTTATTTCGAAACATATTTAAAATGGTTTGACTGACTAAATCATGACAACAAAACATATTCTAAAATATATTAATGACTTACTTTTTAAAATAAAATAAATTCTGCCTGAAAGCTTCCATAGCCTATATGTTTAAGTTAAACACTCCATTTTAACTAACATTTATTTCATTCACTTTTCTTTTAAAAAGCATATCGTACGTTCCTAAAACTTTTGCAAACTAAAATTACCGCCTTTAAATAAATGAGTCATATATTTATAAACACATTACTTTTGATATCACCTTATCGATCTTCAAAAGCTCATTTTGCTTTTTTTCCCCCCCGTCTCATTTGAACAGCTGTCTTCAGCGTTCGAGTTAAAAATCTGAATCTCTTAAAATGATTCAGATTTTTTTTGAAGTGGGGTTCTCTCAGTGACTGTTAGCAGTCATTATCTAACTCTCTAGACTTCACATAACAAAAATTAGTTTTCAGAGATTAGAAATACAAAACTGACCTCCATCTTTCTAAAAAAAAAAAAAAAAACTCCAATCCCCAAGAAGGCTGCAGTCATTCATTCAAAATTTCTGTAAAACTTTGAATGTTTCTTTTTTTTTTTTTTAACATAAAAGTATATTCAGATCATGGAGATTCGTGGTAATTAACTACAATGCAACACCTTTTTAATGTAAATATTGTAAAAGTTCAGTGAAAACAGTTTTAGGGTCGGGGTTATGAACTGCTGAAACATTTAGAATGTGCAATCCAGAGCGACATACTTTGTCCACTTGTGGCTTCTCACCTGATGCTACGCAGTAAGCTAATTATCACATCTGCCAGGTTGATTTAAATGGGAACAACCATTTGGAGCACTTCACTGCAACCCACTAAATAACAAATGTCAACTGGTGTCTTAAACACAAATTTGTTGAGTCTGACGGATGGATGACTGGACTTCAGCCATGCATAGTTTTCTCAGAAGTGTAAATATTGCTGAACGAAGCAGGTTTGAAAAGCAGCTTTTGACCTTACATCTTGGATCACTGCCCGTCGACCAAGCCCTTCTCATGAGGGTTGTTTGATAAAAATCAATAGCCATATAATCTTGTATGCGGCTCTGTTCACCACCAACGTTTTGCTTCCTTTAACAGGCTGGTTAGCTGGTTAGCTTAGCAAACAGAATCCAGCAGGCGCCATGAGGTCGATACAGCAACATGCTATCTGTTTATTTAATCGCTGGTTTGGGTAGAACCTTCTGGAATAACAGTTCTTCCAGCAGTACGTGAGTTCAAATGTTTTGAAGTGAGGTTCTGTTAAGGTGTTATCAGTCATAACTACCTTTACTTAAAATAGAAAGATGCTAGTGTACGGTGAACTCTTTGGAAGCTAGTGGGAGCTAACAAGCTAGCCAGATGTTTGCTGTATCGCTCCACTTCATCAGCTGATTTGGCAGGTCTTGGGGGATTAGAGGGAATTTTCAAACAAACAGAGACCTGGAAAACAGAAGAACATCCCATCTTTAATGGTGTTGCACAATAGCCGGTCTGTAATCCAAACGTTTTCTCCGTTCTTGGCGTAGCTCCAGCTGCCTGACGAGCCTCAATCGGCTGGAATGATACAGCCAAGACTCAACCAACATAATCGCAAAATCACAAAATAATTATCTGCTGACATGTTGTCAGTTACCGTTGATTTGAACCGCTGCAAAATACAGTAACATCCTTCTACAGAAAAGTAGGACTTCACTTAAAAAAAAATAGAAAAATCAAGCTAACCCTTTAAAATCAGTCATATTGTTTCCTTAAGTGGTTTTGACAGTAACGTGATCCCACTTGATTGTGTTGATAGCTTCTCTTTTTCCATTGAAAGCGTCGTATCAGGTTCCATACTTTGTAAAGTCAAGCTAATTTCAATATAGACAAATGTAAATAAATGACCTGCAGCGTCTGACGAGGCAGACCCTTTCAGTCCAGCCTGGTGGGTAGCAGCTCAGCCCAAGGTCAACTCCATCGATCCAGATCAGGTTTCCAGAAGGACAGGTCCCCCTGCACCCCCACCACCATGAATTAATAATGGAATGGACCAAAAATCCATAGTTTGTGGAAGAGTAGGAAAACGATACAATAGTTGGAGAAAATTTTTTTATTATAATTGCCATTGCTGTTTTGCCGTCGATCCAGTTTCTGCGTTTCAGGGGAAGTTTGGTCCTCAAGAACACCTGGCAGGAGTTTTCGGTGGAAGCGCCACGTTTTCCTTCGATGCTGCTGCTGATTCATTTGTTTTACCGGATGACAGGTGGAGGAGGGTGGAGGCTTCTTCAGCCATTGATCGAGTGGAAGAAATCCAGATAACACAACTGCTTACAGGAGTTTATGCTAACGTGTGTTGGGGAAAGACTGTTTGACAGAGAATGATAGAACAATCCGGCGGAGGTTCGCGCTGTCATCATGGTAAATGGGCCTCTTGAGATATCTAGAGGAGGGGGTCGGGCGGTTGGTGGTGAAATAATACTTTATAGCGGAGCTTACACTGTGACATTACAGCATCCAACAGCTTCTTGTAATTGCAGCCATTATAAATGTCTTTAACAATTGTAAGGGAAGTGCTGATGCTCTGCGCTCAAACTCCACAAAGGTCAACAGCGTGGAGCCTGCGGCTTCACGTGCGCTCACAATGCCGGGCTGTTTTACAAGCTTTTGGCTCAATCCAGGACTTTAAGCCAAGATACTGCCATATGTTCTGCTAGGCTCAGCATTTCAAAGGAAAATTGAAAAGCTATAACTGCTAAGAGGATATGCGGTGCCGTTGCCAATAACGGCGCGAAAGCCTGATGAAGTATCATGGCTGCCGGGGCTGTGACACCGAGCCAAACCCCGGGGGCTCAGGCTCCCCGGGGAAATTTAGAGAAAAGCCTGTTGGAGGAGGAGTAGGGGAAGGGGGAAAAAAACAGAGCTCAGGAAATAGCAGTCACTTAAATATCATGTTCATTTACTCAAGCATTAAATAGCAGCGAACGCCGCGGCGTTATGTGAGCGCATGTGTGGGTTATGTGTAAAGGGCCAGGTTAATATGTCAATTCGTGTGACAAATGACTGTTTCAGAGCTCCGTTTTAGAACAGCGGTCAGCAGAAGCTCAGACATAACGGAAAATCTGTTTACCCGTCTGCAGTAAATAACCAATGACACGCCGAGGCAGACATCCCGGGAAAATTTATGGTCCTCACAGCCGAAGAGAGCTGTCAAACAAATGATTACACATTCAAGTCACAAT